ATAGTTATATGCCGACTGATTATCAATAAACTCCTGGGTCGCAATTACTCGCCTTAACATTAAAAAAAAAAAAAAAATATTATTATTGGTTTAGTATATATTATATAATAAAATGTATAAGTAAAATTAAGTACATCTATACATATATAGTAAATGATCTACATATAAGGCACAGTAATAGTCATTTAGTTATCTGTTACATTAGCTTGTCTCATAGTAAAAACTCAAGTAAATTTGAGACAAATTATATAGTAATTTCAAAACAAAAATCTGTAACAATATAGTGTTACAAAAATAAAAATATAAATAGGTACAAGATTCATCTTAATGATATCTCAAATTGAATAAAAAAAATTTATTCAAACTAAGAACATAAATTCTTTAAGCAGTTCTCATAAAAATGCTTCTAGAATTATTTCTATATTATTTTTAATTGAATAAAAATTTATTTAGTTTAAGAACTAGAGCTCAATAAATTGTTCTTATAGAAATTATATTTTTTGTCTAAAGAATAGTTTAAATTTGTTGATAATTTACACAGAATTTTACTAAGTTAAGTGTTTTTATAGTCTTAATTAAAATTGTTAAGCATAATTAGAAGTACTAGAATCTCTATTTTTATGAATATTTAATAAAAACTTATTGAATAATAATAATTTTGTTCCTAAAAAACACATACAAATTTTTTAAAAAAATAGTTAATTGTAATCAGTTGTGGATTAATTTTATTAATTCTAAACCTATCTTATACTAATAACAAAATTTGTAGAGCATGTTTTCATCTATTAGTATATTAAATTTAGATTTTTATAGTTAATATTTATAAAGATATTAATGTTTTTCTAATTTTATTTATAAACAAAAATTAATTCTTGATGAAATAATATTCGATTGAGATCATTATTTTTTATTTTAATTTTAAATTTCATACTGCACATTATGATACTGGAGTAGAAATTACTATAAAAAATATTAGCACTATACAATAACATTAATAAAGCTTATTTTATATATTTACACAAGACAAGTAAAAATTTATACACAGAGCAACAACTAAAGAGATTAATTGAATAAGATGATGTTTGATTGCATGAGAATATTAGTTTATAAACTGTTCTAAATTAATTGGTTACTACAACTTTAAAAGAGCAAGGCAAGGTGCTTTACTATTAATACAGTAATATTTTAGTTCCTGAAAATAGCTCTAAACAATATTATCAATTAATAGTGAGTGATAAGATGTGGCTTAAATTAGGCCATGATTATGATCAGTTTTGTTTTAGGATAGATGGAAAATATGACTTGAATAATAAAAAGACACCTGTACTTGCTATAGTCATTGAAAACCAAGCTGGTTACAGATCTTCTTTAGCATTTGGACTTAACAATAAAGAGAACCATCATATAATACAAATGGCAGTACAAGCTGTAAAAGTAAATATTTCATATGATGACCCTACCTGTATGCATTATTATCAATATACTAACTTGCCAAATAGAATGAGGTTTCAATGTCAAGTTAAGTGCATTTCTAACTAAAATCCATTAGTATAATGAATAAGTATTAGTCTACTAAACTTGTATTATAAAATTTTACTCATGATATAATTCTTTGCTAGTTTTATATTATAGCCACTTTAGGTAAGTATTTGAAAATGCAGAAGGTAGATTGATCATTAAGATATCTGATAGCACTTGCTTTTAAAATTGTAGATTGATACAGATCAGAAGAAGAGACTATTGAAATAAGAAAAAATATAATAATTTTATTGATTCTTTACTACATGATAATAATATAAAAGACTACTTAAAACATGATTTAAAAATGAACTGGATTTGTGATGAATGAAGAAAAAGCTTTATCAAAAAGAACAAATATTACAAATAAATAATCTAATTAATTCAAAGCCAATAATGACAAACAATCTTACAAAGCAGATGCATAAAACTGTAAAAGCACAAAATAGTAGAACCTAAACTGTTGTAAAATTTATTGAATGTCTATATGGTGTTAAAGTTTTTTGGAAATCATTAGTTTAGAGTAAACTTGACAAAATTCAATTTGATGCAGGCTTGGCTACTTATTAGAATATGTGCATAATTGAACATCTATAAATATCATCTAAAAACCAGTTGATAAAAAGTGTCATATAAACTAGAGTCATCTTTATGCTCTTCTTGGTTTGGTTTTACTTATTTCTAGACAAAATAATTATATGTTAGTTAAAAAGCAAAGTAAAACATTCGATTCACTATATAACTTTTGTCCTATTGATATATTAGTGAAAATATTAGGAAAATTGAATAAGATGATCATGAAATTAATTAATAAAGATAATTTTAGTATACCAAAAATGTATTACCTTGTTAATACATTGTTTGAAGAGTGTACATGCTATAACTATATTTGGAATAGTCCTTTTTGAGATGTCTGTAAGCATGTATATGCTGCACAACTATATATAGATATTTTATATAGAAAGTTACAAATACAAGAAATTAAGAAAAAATTAATTAAGTATTTTAAAAATAAAAAATATGCAGTTGCTCTTGAAAAAAAAACTACATCATTCATAATAAAAGTAATAATAAAGTTTATCAAAAAATTTTGTAACTTTATAATAGTATGAATAATAATATTTTCTTTTTTATGAAAAGAAAAATCATAGTAAAAGATTCCTTTTGCCTAATAGATAGCATTCAAGCATTGTTGACAAATGGAATAACTAAAAATTGTAATGCAAAACTTCATAAACCTAGTCAATTTTCTTATTCTAATAATGTACAATTTAATGAAACTGAAACAAGTTATATTGATGAAATTAACCAAGAATGCGCTAATTATGATAGTCTTGAGGATTTGTTACTTTCTGAAATTTTAATTAATAATATTGAAAATACTTCAAAGTTTGCAGAACTCTATTCAATCTATAGACATAATACTACAAAAATTCAAAACAAACATCGATCTCATACTCAAATTGTAAATTACTAAAATTACTACAGTATTAGCCATGTATTCATATTAGTATATTGCATAATTATTACTATATAATACTAATTTTATTTTAATTTACAGATATCTAATAATGAACAAGAAAATGATGTTACTTTTACTACAAAAAAGTTGCTTGAAGAACTTTTTCTTGAAAAAAATATGCTTGGAATCTCCAAGAGTTTATAAATATAGTAGTAGAAAAAAGACTGCAACTCAATGATGATCTTGCTAAAAATAGTATAAAATTATATAGGTGGATTAGTAATCAAAAAATTCATGCAAAAAATACAAACAATAATTTAAACTAACACTGAGCATTATAATTTGAGTTTGATAATGCTATTAAATAAAAGTAAAAATAATACATAGTGAATGTATATAAATATCATTAATGGTAAAATAATTCATATTGATATGCTACATTTATAGTTTAAGTATGACTATGTTGTGCAACTACTCTGTATTATTGTAATTAATTAATTCTTGTATTACAATTTCTTAAAATTAACATGATAATATATATATATTTATATTATATGACTATTAACTAAGAATTTTTAGCTAAAGACACATCATAAAATATAAATCTATTTTATATTACACATAAAGTAAATAAGTATAAGCCTTTTTAGCTTCATATGAAATTTATACTTCTATTATTTTATTTAAAAAAAAATAGTTTTTTTAAATAGAACATTTGTAGATATTGAGTTGTTAGCTATTAAGAGGTTTGCATATGAATATGTATAAATAAGTATTACAAGTTATTAAAAAGGTTTTTATATCATAATCTATACTACTAAAATTTTATCTATACTACTAAAATTTTAATTTCTGTATGACCGTCTGTGTGTTTTAAATGATTTGATTGGTTAGATTTATTTCAGATCAGTCACATGCTATAAACAAATAAACAATATACATGTTTGAAATAACACATATTAATAAATTATTTAGTCTTTTTTAACCTTCAAAGCATTATAATTTTTTATAAAACCAAAATTTTAAAAATCTGACCATTAACTTTGTTTAAAATATTGCCTCTATAAAAGTTAATGTGTTTTAAAGTTATGCTTTTTTATTTTCAAATCTAGGCTTTCAGCATATATATAATAAAAAAAACAACTAGGCACAAAATTTTTTTATTTAAAATTATATGTTTCTTGATATGCAACCAATTTTATATATATTTATTTATTATATACAGTATTGATATATCTTTTTATAGTGTACTATTTATATGGTATTAGTTTCTACTCACCGTTTATATTGTACTGAATCATTGGTGTAGCTACAATCAATTTTTATAGTGGTTTAAACAATAGACATTAAGCTAATCTTAATGTCAAAAAAAAAAAAGAATTAATACGTAATGTTAATTGCAATTAATATTTCATCATCTAATCAGTTTCAATTATTTTTTTATCATTTTAAATTTTAAGCATTTTATAATAAAATTTAATTGCACATGCGACTTATTTCTACTTCCAATTTAGTAAAGTACATAAAAGTACTATATCAATTTTAAATTCATGACTACCATTAGGGTGTTCAAAATTACATGATACAATAGGGTAAATTATGCAATGGATACGAAATAATTTAAAATTATGTGAAATATTTAAATAGAAGATGTAATTTTTAATAAAGGATGCGATTTATTTTATATATAATTTTATTTTAAGATAATTTTATTTTAAGATAATTTTATTTTAGATAATTTTATTTTAAGATAATTTTATTTTAAGATAATTTTATTTTAAGATTTACAATCCATTCCATGATTCCAAAGCACATCTAATTAGTAATTTCTTACAACTTAAGAACATACATAAGTGCTGTCAAGAGAAAACCAAAATATGGGCTTTCAATTATATTTTATACTGAACACAATTTATTTATTTATTAGTAATTTTGTCCGATACAAAATATAATTGAAAGCCTAAATTCTGGTTTTTTTTTTGGTGACATTTATATATAATTAGTAATCTGTGACTTAAAAAAATAAAATTAAAAAAAAAAAAAAAAAAATCAAAAAAGGAATACTATAATTTACTATTGCTATAGCAGATCGATCATGCTAAAAAATTTTGCTCATTACACAATGGCTCTCGATATAACAGGCCATTAATATAATAGATATTGCTTAATACAGAGATTTATAATGAAACCAAATTACTATTAATAAAATTATTTAATATAAGATTTTGATATTACAGAGATTTGAATATAACGAAGCAAAGGATGGAACCATGACTTTGTTATATCGAGAGTAGAGCTGTAAACCAAACTATTTGGAACAGCCCAAACCAAATAACAATTAGTATCACACTAGGTATTCACAACTTTTTACCTATTATCAAACCCATGTGAAACTAATTGTCATATAGTTTGGGTCATCCCAAATAGTTTGGTTTACAGCCCTAATTAAGAGCCACTGTATATAATGAATATCTAATAAATAAATAAACAAGTATCTTCATAATCTAATTTAATAGTGATAAAAATTAATTACATATTCTTAATATGACAAAATTATTAATTACAAACCCTATCTCTTAAATACTTAATTATGACACATGAATTAAAGATTTATTCGAACTCAAGAAGTCTTAATCAAATAATCATGCCTTAATATAAAGTCTTTTTCTATTGTAAGATCTAAAAATGTAATATGAATCATTAGTTCTAATTTTTTTGTATCATAACAATGTATATAAAATTACTATACAAATGTTGCCAATCTAAGAAATATATATTCTATGAAAATATAGTGCTATCAATCATACATAGCAGAATAATAGATAATCTGAAATGCAATTTTGAGTTAAAGTTTTTTTTACATTTTTGTAATCATCAAATTGCTTGCTTTTCATGCATATATATCAGTAACATGTTAATATTATGTCAAATTAATCAATGTAAATTATTACATTTATAATTTTAAATCTTTTTTCTCATATCTATAACATGTCAAATACAATAAGACAAGAACAAAGAGATGCTAATGCTGCTCGAATAATTAGAAAAAGAGCTGCAGAGACTAATGAGCAAATAAACCAGTGACACCAATATGATGCTAATGCTCATCGACACTGTCATGTAGAGGAACATGAAGAGCAACATCTGAATTGACACCAACAGAGTGTCACTACTAAATGCCAATGATATGCTAAAGCAACTGAAGACCAACATCACAATCGAAATCATCAAGATGCTGAAGCTCACTACCAACAATGTATCAACAACCTTTAGCTATACAATTTCGCTTGTAGTTTTTCAGAAAATGCAAATATTAATTATCCAAATTCGCAACAAATCAACATTACAAGCAGCATTACATGTAACTATTGCAATGCTCTCAAACTGCCTATAAAAAGTCCCAGAATGTGCTGTTCTAATGGAAAAGTGATATTAGCAGAGCCCAGTATTCCAATGCTTTTGCAGCATTTACTTTCTAGCCAGGACAATGTTGCAAAGGACTTCTGTGACAAAATTTGACTTTATAATTCTGCATTCACCTTTGCTTTCATTGGTGCCAGGTATGATCATGGACTTGCCAATACACAATTAGATGTCTATACCTTTCATGTTCAAGATTTATTCTATCATTGAATTGGTTCTTTATTACCAGAATCAGACTCTGAACCACATTATTTGCAAATGTATATCTGAGATATTTAAAATAAACTGCATTATCGAGCCAATACTTTTCTCAGTTCTAACCTTAACCTATCTACTATCCAAGCTTTAAAGAATATGCTTGACGAAGTTAATCTATATATTATTAATCTTCAGCATATTTCATACTTGCCTGCTGAAAATTCTAAAAATTTATCTATGCTAATCTATACCAATATTCCCAGACTTGATCAAAGAACTCACAATGCCCCATCATTATCTGAAGTTGCAGCTATTTGGGTTGATAATGATGTGCCCCCTGGCACTATTCAGAAATGTGACATTATATTACACACATATATGAATTAATTAGTTCATATTTCCGAGTTTAGTAGATGCTATAATCCCTTGGCATATCTGCTATTGTTTCCTAATGGTGAACAAGGATGGGCTCCTTACCAAATTCTATATAGAGACATTCTCTTAATCAATGAGTTGATTGATATTGATGAAGGTCCTAATAATAATAGAAATAATGATGAATTGGAAAGTGATAACATAATAAAATATAGGAAATTTGTAACTGCAATGCAATATTATGCATATCAGCTCCAAATTCGCTATAATTCTTCCAATATGCTCCTGCAAATAGAAAGACTTTTCTAGCAATATGTGGTTGATATGTATGTTAAAATTGAATCTGATCACCTGAACTTTTACAGACAAAACCAAGATAAGATTCAAAGTGAACTATATAAAGGTCTTCAAGATGCTGTTTTGCATGGTAATAGTAATCCAAGACAAGTTAGGTGGAGAATAGTACTTCCATCTACATTTATCAGAGATCCTCGAGATATGATATAGTGATATCAGGATGCAATGGCCTTATTATGTATTGGAAAGCCTGATTTATTCATTACTATGACGTGCAACCCAAATTGGCCCAAAATTCAAGCCCTAATGCTTCCTAGACAAAAATCTCAAGACCAACCAGACATCACAGGTGCTTTTGATATATGTCTATTTTAATTATTTGAGCTGTCGTCAAAAGAAATAAAGCAGATTGACTTTTTTTTTTAAAAAAAAAATAATAACTTTCATAGCTTATAATTTATGAGTTATTTAATTGTTTTCAAAATGTCAATTTGCCTTATTTCTATTGACGACAGCCTATTTTATTATGCCAATTCCTTTTTACTGATTTTTTTTTACTTCTGTAGCACAGATTTTTCGTATGAAACTTCAGGAATTAAAAAAAGATCTTTTCGAATGTGGGATCTTCAGATGTGCAATTGCACATATTTATACTATTGAATTCCAGAAGTAAGGTCTTTCGCACATACACATTTTAGTTATTCTTCATTCAGAAGATAAACTGAGAACACCTGAAGACTATGATACCATTATCAGCACAAAGATACCTGATCCAACAGTTGATCCTATTATATATGCCACAGTTGCTTCTAGCATGCTTCATGGGCCATGCAGAAAGCTTAATCCTAATGCTTCATGCATAATTAATAATAATACAGGGCACAAACAATGCATAAAAGTATATCCTAAACAATTTCAAAGTGAGACCTTACAAAGAAAAGATTTATACCCTATATACTGCCACTAACAAAATGGTTGTTAAGTTGAGGTGAAAGTACAAAATCAAACAATTCTCTTGGATAACTGATGGGTTGTTTCTTATAATAGATTCCTTTGTGCAAAATATAGTTGTCATATAAATGTAAAAATTTGTGCTAGCATTAAAGCGATAAAATATTTATTTAAGTATGTCTATAAGAGCCATGACAGAGCAATAATCAAGGTAACCAATGAGCATCAACATAATGTTCAACATCCATCAATTGTAATCGATGAGATCCAAAATTTTGTTAAAGCATACTAAATATCAGCTCCAGAAGCTGTTTGGAGAATTCTAGGATTTAATATGAACAGAATAAATCCAGCTATTACATGTTTACAGGTACATCTATGTGATCAACAAAGGATTAATTTCAATAAAGATAACGATCTAGAAGAAGTTATTGAAGCTGACCAAAATCGGTGAACAACTCTTACTGAGTACTTCAAAATGAATGTACAGGATCTAGACATGAGAGAACTACTTTATGCTGATTTCCCTTTGCACTACACATGGAATAAGGTGACTAAGACATGAAAAAAATGCCAGCGTAGAAGTTGTATTGAGAGAATATACATGGCTCATCTAAGTGAAGGTTTGTCTTATTGTCATTTAATAAAAAATAAAAGAGAAGTTGCTTTAACCCAGATGAAAATAGAATTTTCCAAAATAAAATAAATAAAAATAAAAATAAATTTAATAAAATAAATTCAATAAAGAATAAAATTTAATAAAATGATTTTAATACTCACTATACAATAATCTCTATTTAGGTGAATGATACTATCTACATTTACTTCTAACAAAAATAAGAGGAGCTAAAAGCTTTGAAGAGCTCAAAATAGTTAATGGTATCACATGTGCTACTTTCAAAGAAAGTGCATAGCACAGAGGTTTCCTGGAAAATGATGATAAACATAGGTGATGCATGACTAAGGCAAGAGAATTTCGAATGCCTAAACAATTACGTAATCTATTTGCAACATTATTAGCCTTTGGTGATGTTACAGATGTGTAACAACTATGAAATGAGAACTTCGATACAATGGCAGAAGATTTTGTACACAGATGAATTCTGGAGAGTTAACATCAAATTCAGGCAGTTCTTCAAAGTTTGAACATATTTTTACAAAGATATATGAAAACAGTAAATGACTATAACTTACCAGAATTGTCACAAATAAATACTGCTGAATTACCAAGAACAATTCTGGAAGAATTGTCTTATCATATTACCCAAGAAGATCTCGATAAAGCAAATACGTTAAATAAAGCTCAGTGTGCAGTATTCGATAAAGTACTGGATCTTATAAATAAAGATAAAAGAGGTGTACTGTTTGTTGATAGCCCTGCTGGAAGCAGAAAAACATATCTTTACAAGTGTCTACTTGCTTACATACGTTCCAATTAGCAAATTGCATTGGCAATAGCCTCCTCAGATATTGCTGCAGTCCTTTTGCATGATGGATGTACTGCATACTCTTGCTTCAAGATACCAATTACCATGACAAATGGAAACATGACTTGTAATATTGGAAAGAGAACTGACCTAGCAAGATTACTTAAAGAAGTTGTCTTGGTATTCTGGAACAAAACTCCTATGACAAATTGCAATGCTCCTGAAGATGTAGACAAAATGTTAAAGAATATTATAGAAAATAATCTTCTGTTTAGTGGGAAAATATTTCTATTTGAAGGAGATTTTTGACAAGTTTTGCCTGTAGTTCCTAAAGACACTAGAGTTCAAATAGTCAATGCTACACTAAATAAGTCCTCTCTATGGCATCACGTTCAAGTCTTTCATTTAGATGCTAATATGCAAGTTTCTCCTGCCAATGATAAGAAAAGAACTTTTGTAGAGTACTTACTCAGAATTGGCAATGGTACCGAACCCACTATAGATAATGATCTGATTCGACTTCCTGATGAAATGACTGTTCGTCCACAGAATCAAGAAGATTCCATTGACCCTTTAATAAATATTATATACTCTAATCTTACTGAAAATTTCTTGAACACTACCTTCATAACAGAGAGAGCAATACTAACGTCATTAAATAGTGATGTTGATGAGATTAATGAGAAAATAATGGCTAAGTATCCTGGAGAACAACACACATACTATAGCTTTGACTCAGTACCAGAGAACAATCTAAATCTATTTCCAATTGAATACCTTAACTCTTTAATATCTCAAGGTCTTTCTTCACACGAGTTTATATTGAAGGTTAATGCTCCTATAATGTTACTTAGAAATTTAGACCCAATTAATGGACTATATAATAGAACAAGACTTATCTGTCGACAATTCCGAATACAAATAATAGATGCCAAAATAGCAACTGAAGATCATCAAGAAAAGTGTGTATTTATTCCCAGAATTCCTCTTCTGCCCTCTGAAGATGCAAGTTTACTTTTTGCTCTAAAGTGAAAACAGTTTCCTATACGATCCACATTTGCTTTGACCATCAACAAATCTCAAGGACAAACATTACCTTACATTGGTTTGTATCTTCCAAGATCTGTTTTCTCTCATAGACAATTGTACATAGCTATGTCAAGAGTACATAAAGGGTCCAATCTTAAAATTTTTGTCAAAAATGATGAAATTCAAGGTAGAGATGGTATCTATACACGAAATGTTGTTTTTAAAGAAGCTTTAATATAATAAACCCCATCTCCTAAAAATGCAAAAAAATGATTAGTAACTAATCAAATATTAAAATAATTTCTGAAGGTATAAGAAAAACGGACAAGAAACCCTATTATTCGAATTTATATACTATTGCTATATATTTATGTACTTATCTTGCTATGTTCACGTATGAAACTTTAAGTTGCACCAATTAAAGGTAAGTGTAACAGATTAACTCAGGACATTTGCTATATTCGATCAAAAACACAATGATTGATGTATTGTTCTTAATCTTGAACAATACCCGAGATATAACTATAAATATTACCTTCATATGATATCTCCTACAAATAGTACCCGGTTTCTTGCACAGTACTAGCGAGTACTATTTAATTTAAAAAAAAAGTGTTCTAATATTTACTTTTGAGTATAGATCGCAAACTTATGACATCACCCAGTTACGTCCTATATAAAAAATCGGGTTATAAAATAAGACACAATTAACCTGTAACTAATGACATAAATAAGTCTGCACTATCTATACTTTTGAGATATTTATTGAATAAAGCACTAGGGCTGTGAAAAAGCTTATTGGACTGGGTCCTTGAGTCGACTAGGCAGAGACTTTTTAGAACCGACTCGGAGTCGACTTCAGATAAAGTCCGAATGTAGGGGTCTGCATATCTTTTGTTCTGAGAATTAGTCATTTAATTGGCTAATTTATGCTGACCCATACATGATGATACGTATTAGTAAATCACGTATAATCGTTATCTATATGCAAACGTATCAAGAATCGACTCAAGGATCAAGTTCCGATCAAAAAGTTTCTATTTAAGGAGTCCGAATGGACTTTTAATAGCACTATAAAGCACGGACGTAAGGACGTGCCAGTCTACTAGTTATAATTAAGTGTATATTCTAATATTTCCAGGGGTCTTTTTTTTTTTAGATCTATCAAGAACGGTATGACCCTATCAAAAACAGTATGTAAATCTTTTTTTTTTTTACTCCATCAAGATCAGTACCGATGATCCATCAAGAATAGTAATTTTGCGTTTTGTACATTTGACCAATTGAATATAAGAAAATATGGGGTTCAAATAAAAATTTGGTGTCTCTTGCTAAGGCCCAATGCGTTCTATCCGCTCATATATTTTGAATATCTATTTTACACATGAAGTTCTAGCTAAATAAAATCGAGTGGTTTGAATATGTTTTATCATATACAGTCAGACCTTGATATAATCACCAGGCCGGGAAACAAAAAATTGGTGATTATAAAAAATCGTGACTATATGAAGGTCGATATTTATATGTTTTATATAAGCTAGGAACAAAAAACAGGGTGACTATATCAAGGTTGTGACTATATCAAGAGTGACTATAACGAGGTCTGACTGTATACGTTTTCGAATAATATAAAGATAAACTATTGTTATAAAATATTGTATCTAATTATTGTTTAATAAATTATATTCCTAAGTTAATTTGTTTACTTATCATTTTTCGCATAGCATTTAGTGCACGATAGTTATTATTTATTTGGTTATACGGTTTTCGTATTTCGGCGTTTAAGTAATTTTTTCGGTTTGGGTTGGTTGATAATTATTGATACATTTTCCGAACAAAGTTTTCTATCATTGAGCCGGGGGCTAGATTTACGTAATAAGTTTGAGTCCCTTAATTGACCAACCTACCAATTTTGGTACGTATCATTTCACCGACAAGTTTATTTCACCGACTAGTTTTTTTAATGTTGCACTAACATTAACTCTAATTCTAACTGACCCTAACGAAAATGACCAGAATTACTTTGTCGGTGAAATGACTGTCGATGAAATAACTGTTGGTGAAATAAACTTTCCGGTGAATTGATTGTCGGCGAAATGTGCACCACCCCAATTTTGTGTATTACTGGATATGGTATTAGGAAAGTGAAAATTAAAATAACATATCGATTTAAAATTTCGGTTTAATATACTGTATGTGAAATAATAATCGGTAGTTGTGGAGAGCTTCCGAGCGGTATTTAAATATCTTCATAAACCAAATTAATCAATTGTAATTGGTAAATAACTTTAGATCTGTTTTTTCATTGTCAATTATGCTATTGCTTTTAATGCAAATTATGATTAGTTAAAATTTCAATGCCTAATTCTGACGATGAAATGTAAATAGTGTGATTTTAACAATAGAACATAAGTAGCTTATGGGCAAGATAATTACTTATTACGTAAAAAGTTAAATCATACTATGTGACAATTTAGTATGTTATTAGTTGTAAGTATATATTATCGGTAAATTGTCGCATAATGTTATAACTAGTGATGGGCAAATCGCGGTTTTTTTAAAATCCCGCGCAGCCGCGCGGGATCACGCGCGTGATCCGCGGGATAGGATAGAGTTTTTTAATTTCTCACGAATAATAAATATATTCTTGGTGCATTACTTTTATATAAA